CAATGTCATAAGATCTTCGCTTCTGTCTCATTAGCTTAGTCTTGGGGTCAATACTTAAACGATGACAGATGATATCGGGAGAGATGCTTGGCATGTCCTCGTGTGACTAGGCGAAGACCTCAGTGTTCTCTTGCAAAAAAGAAATCAATGCCAACCGCGTGGGTGGTGACAAGGTGGTGTCAATCTTCACCATGCGATCCGGATAATTTTTTGAGATAGAGACCTTCTTCAACTCTTCAGCGGGTTATGCTTACTGGGTGAAATAGTCATCTCGAGGATCGTCGGGTTAACTATTGCCACCGTGAAGATCCAAGTTGGCTTCGTCTGGGCTAGTCTTTATGACTTAGTCATGTATAGAAAGGGTTTCCTTGGGCATAGGCAGGTGTTATTGCTTAACCGATGTGTTGTAACATGATCATGCACTAAGTTGATCTCCTCTGATGTAACCATTGACATAGGGGGTTGGAAATTTCATCAACAACATATGTGTGGATACCATGGCCTTGAGATCATTGATGCATGTGCGTCCGAAGATGACATTATATGTCATTGGGCAATCAACCACCAGGAAGTTAGTGGTAATGGTAGCTGTGTAAGGGCCTGTACCAATGGTGAAATGTAAGTGTATGCTCCCCAAAGGTTGCACGATATCACCGGAGAAGCTTATCATAGGGGAAATCGAACGATCGAGTAAGTGTTCAGCTACATTAAGTGCCCTGAAAGCTTCAACAAACATGATATTGACCGAAACCCCCGTGTCTACCAAGATTCGTTGTACTTCAAAATTGGCTATGTGAGCTTTCACGATCAGTGGGTCGTTATGAGGGTAGATGATACCTCTTTCTTCCTCAGGGTAGAAACATATTGGATCCTAGTTAGGCTTTTGATACGTACCTCCCCTGATGTCTTCCACATGAAACACTTGGTGGCCAGACCTTAAAGCTCGTTCACTATTTTTCATGGCCCTGTTGGAAGATTTAGATATGGGTGTGCCACCACTTATGGAATATATCACATTCACCTGGCGTTAGTTATGGTTACCCCTTAGAGGGTGAAGGAGGAATTGATCAATTTTTCCTTCACGTGCCAAAGCTTCAACATGATCACGAAGGGCCTGGCGTTAGTTATGGTTACCCCTTAGAGGGTGAAGGAGGAATTGATCAATTTTTCCTTCACGTGCCAAAGCTTCAACATGATCACGAAGGGTGATACACTTCTCGTCGTCATGGCCATTATGCTCGTGGTAGCAGCAAAACGTGTCCGTGTTCTTTGTGGGCTTGTAATCCGGGTGCCTCGGCTTTGGCTTCGGTATCAGGTGTGCTATACTGGGGTAAATTGCCACGCATGTGGCGTTCAAAGGTGTGTATGCCTCATACCTCGGGGTAGGGGTTGTCTTGACACGTGCTTGACCCACTGTGTTGACTGCTTAGGGTCAGGGATTATGATGGCGATACCCTTGGTTATCGCGGTAGTGTCCCTTACTCTTTTTACTAAAATGAGATTGGTGAGGATGGAAATCTTTCCTTTTGCCCTGAGATTGATATGTCTGTTGACTTGGCAAAGTATTAAGTAAGGCAGGGGGAGGTACCGTTGTCGTTTGGAAGGTCAAGGTCTTCTCCTTTGGTTGGATCTGGCTTCCACTTCCTACTTGCTGATAAATGGTGGTTGTGGGGGGTTTCCCTTGATATGTCCTTGCCTCGGCGAAGGCATGGTTGTACGCATGTGCCATCACCTCAGAGTAAGTCTTCCAAGTGTTGACATTGATCATGTACTTGAAGAAACAATCACGTAAGCCTGCCGTGAAGGCCTTGAGGGCGATCTTGTCATCTGCCTCAGCGCAGCGAGAATACTCATGGCTGAAACGACCAACATACTCTTGTAGTGACTCGTCCGGCTTCTGGCGAATAGTGTACAAGTCATCTACAGAATGCAAGCGATCGGTCTGGAAGATGTGTTGAGAGACAAACAGTTTCCTCAGTTCCTCAAATGAGTCTACTGTCTCAGGTGGAAAACGGCAATACCAGTTTAGAGCTCCGCCAGAGAGGGTGGAGGGGAAGAGAAGACATCGTTCTTCGTCAGTGTGCATCCGATATGCCATGGTGGACTCAAAGAGGTTAAAGTGTTCAATTGGGTCTTTCCTTCCAGTATAGAGTTGTAAACCAAGCTTTTGTTTTGTCTTTGCTTGAAAGGGGTGTCGAGGATCCTCCTTGTGAGAGGGCCAGGCCTGGGTTAGTTCCAGTCAGGTATCTCGGCCTGACGTTCGGCCTTCAACTTGTTTACTTCCTCAATGAGTTGTAGGACAAGGGGGTCTTAAGTGGAGTCATGTACCACTGGGATTTTCTTTCGTAAGTCTCCATCGCCTCTTGGAAGTAGGAAAGTTTGAACAAGGGTGTGTGATTTTTCCTTGGACTCGTCGTACTGACTTCTAGGGCGAGTCTGTCGGAATACCTCAGAGTCCCATGTACCTTCATGTTCCTCTAGGACATGTCGTTCCTTCCCTAGATTGGCAGCTGGCCTGGGTCGTGGAAGGGGACTGAGTCTTTCAGAAACCCTTGGGTCATTGATCTTCGAGCATATGTGGAAGGGATTCTCTCGACGTTGCTTTAGGAAGTCTCGGCAGTCACGATAAACGGTTTTTGATCTTTCCAACCCTTCTGCAATGAGGTGTTTTCCTCCACTTCTCCTGCTTCGGGTCGAAGCAGCTGGGTTGAGAGAAATCTCATGTTGATCAATGTTTTGATGATTAGCTCGCTCCTCATCAGGGATACCCATGTCGAAGGAAGGTGACCCTCCTTGTTGGGAGGCATCCAGATGATGGTTGATGTCCATAGGGGTAACGAGTTCGCGTGTTTGAGTACGCCTAGTTTCGTGGAGCATCTCAAAAAGCTTCTCATACTGTTCCTGAAGGACCTCATTCTTCATTGTTATCTTGTTGTTTTGAGATTCTAGCTCATCGACTTTAGCTTGAAGAGCAACTCTTTTTCCTTCCTTCTTTTGTTGCTTCGCACTAGGTGCATGAGGGGTGTCATTCTGTGTGTTGTGGCTTCCTTCGCTCCCCATGTTGGAGAGAGATGCCTGGTCAAAAGAGAGTGTACGAATGGTGGAAACCAGTTTAACAAAGCTGAAGAGAATGGGAATAAGTGTCGTTCCCACAGACGGCGCCAAATGTTGATGCACAAAATCAGTGAGGACTTTGGTACAACAGAAAGTGTTAAGTTTGTGACCTTCGCTAGATTGCTTCGGTCACTAGTGTGGATAAGTATATAAATGGATAGGGACAGGGAAGCAAACACAAGATGTACGTGGTTCACCTAGATTGGCTACGTCCACGGAGTAGATGAGTTCTCATTAATTGTGAAAGGTTTACACAAGTACATAGGTACAAGCTCTCCTTTTGTGAGTACAAGTGAATGATTTAGTACAAATGACATTAGGAAATATTGTGAAAGAATGATCTCTATTTATAGAAGAGAGTTTCTAGTTTCATTCTGACATTGACACGTGTCATGTTGTGATTGGCTTCTGATGTTGACACGTGTCGCGCTATAATTGGCTTCTTATGTCGACACGTGTCGCGCTGTGATTGGCCTTCTGGTTGGAGGGAAACTCTTCTGGGTCCTTGACGGTATAACGTTGACTGGTGCTCAGTAGTTTCGGGATTGGTCAAGTATGGTACAAACAATAGTGAATAGGATAAGAGTTATACCACTGAAGGTAACCATCTCCTAAGATTTGCCAGAATCCTCGTATACACGTAAGCACATCTACTAAATCGTGAGGGCGTGGTCGGGGCACACCTCCTATAGCACGAGGCCTTTTGGGAACTCACTGGTTTCGGGTTCCATTAGAACTCTGAAGTTAAGCGAGTTCGGGCGAGAGTAATCCTAAGATGGGTGATCCACCGGGAAGTTCTCGTGTGAGTTTTCAGAAACAAAACCGTGAGGGAATGGTAAGCCCAAAGTAAACAATATCGTGCTACGATGAAACCGGAACTGGGATGTGACAATTTTAAGGATTTTTACAAGATTCAATATAACTCAAAATTTGAGTCATTTTAGTCGCACTACACGACAAGTGATCTTCAAGTAGTTGGAGGAATCAAGAAGCTCAACAACAAAATTACAATACATATGGGCAAAATCCATGTAGTCTTACAAGGCTAAGATATTTGGGAGATCGTCTACGATAATGAAGTTACGTAGCTAGAAGAAGACACCAATGACGCTATTTGAACTGCAGAGCAATAGGTTAAATACACAAAGTGAGATAAAAACATAAAAAAATAAAAAATAAAAAAGAATCTCTCTCTCTCTCTCTCTTATATATTCACAACGCTTCTCTCTCTCTCTATATATATATATTCACAATGCCTTTACCATTAGGCCCTTCTTCACCAACAATCACACAAAGGCCAAACCTTTGCGGCCTCAGGCTCTTGAACAACTTTGGTGGTCGCCAGAATGTCAATGTCCATGGTTCAGGTCGGTTGATAATATTTGCCAAAAATGAGGCTAATAACAGACCCACATTGGAGGTGGTGTTAATTTTGAGCCATTGGAAGAGGTCAAGAAGGAGCTCCTTCTAGTCCCCAGTGTCCCTCATGCTTCTCTCGCTCGCCAAAAATACTCTGCCCAATCATAAGCTGCCATCAATGAACAGTTCAAGTGTGCTTTTATCAATTCTCCCATTTTTTTAGTCTTTTTCCTAATCTTAATGTTCATTGGAAATGTTGGTTTCTTGGCTATTTTCTAACCGTTTTGTTTTCCCATTTTTTTAGTCATTCCATCAATCATTTTGATCATTAGAAGTCTCTGTTATATTAAGAATAATTTTGTTAAATCAACCTCTTCCCTTCCACTAGTGTTTTCTTCAATTAAATGAAAATTTTCACAGAAAAACTAAAATGTTTGACGATAGACAATACTGTTCAAATTACTTTGAAAATAGATAAAAATGGTAAAATTTTAGGGCCAAACCGTTCAAACAACGTGATAAGTTGATAACACAAAAATCCGCAAAATATAGGCAGCAAGCTGATTAAAAATGGTTCAATACACATCTCATTCCAGCACAAAACATAACAAGATTCAAGCCAGTACAGCATCTCATAATCCATAACGTAACGCAGGCCACAAAACAAAACAAAATAAAATCCCTCGAGCATAAGCTGAAAAGAGTCGAACTGCTTAACTAAGTACCATTCTAAAACTATAGGAACAACAATATATAGTTGCCGCCATATTGTTTAAGCAGTAGCAGCTGTTTGGGCGGCCGCTTGTCGCTTCTTTGCCTCTTCAATGATGCTTAGCTTGATACCCTTGCCCTTGGGAAGAGACACCCATGGCTTTGTACCCTTGCCGATGGTGAACACATTACCAAGACGGGTTGCAAACTCATGTCCAAGGGCATCCTGTACGTGGATAGTTTCAAAGCTTCCCTTATGCTTCTCCCTGTTCTTAATGACTCCAACACGCCCCCTATTCCTTCCGCCAGTAACCATGACAACATTACCAACATCAAACTTAATGAAGTCAGTGATCTTGTTGGCCTCTAAGTCCAGCTTGATAGTGTCATTGGCCTTGATGAGCGGGTCAGGGTAGCGAATAGTGCGTCCATCAAAAGTGTTAAGATAGGGGATGCCCTTCTGCCCAAACTGCACTGATCGAACCTTGCAGAGCTTGAACTGCTCAGGGAATTTATAATACCAAGTCAAATAGTTAATTATCTTGCCAAAAGTAGACGACAAAACTAAGCTAGAAATATTTCAGAATGTACTCTGAGCCATTAACAATGTCAACATTGCAAAAGCAGAATAACCATAAAACTAAAAGAACCTAGGTTTCAAGAAACATTTAAAACAAAAAACAAGATTAAAACGTTTCCAAAAAAAAAAAAAAAAACATGATTAAAACAGAAGATCAAAAACTTCTTATTCGGTGTAAGCTAACTGAAACACTAATACACTTTGTAGCAATATGATCTACCAATCTAACAAAAATACAAGAAAGGTCATATGAAGTTCTTTTCCTGTTAAAATCTAAGATCTTTTTTATTGCACATAAGATGTAACATTTCGGAGAAACATGTTACGTAAGATCTGTTAATTAACAAAATGACACTACAGTAATAAAACCTGATGCACAATTGCAACATTCCACACCAAGTAATAACAAAATTACATTCACAAAACTAGAAAGCAATGAGCATAAGAACCAACCTTGGCCTCCTCATCTCTAATTGAGTGGAGCCTAAACCGACCCTTGGTGTCAAAGAGCAGACGGAAATTCTCATTTGTTTTTGGGATCGAAACAACATCTGAAGACAAATAACATAACTTTAAGCACATTTCTAAGCATCACAGATACAATGCAAAAACAATCATCCAGAAAAATAAGGAATTGGTACTAAATTTAGTGAAATTGTTGAGAACGTACCCATGAAGCCAGAAGGGTAAGTCTTGTCAGTCCTAACCTTTCCGTCAACCAAAATATGGCGCTGCATGAGAATTGAAACAACCTCACGGTACGTGAGTGCATACTTCAACCTGTTCCTCAGAATAAGAACCAGGGGAAGGCACTCCCTGGCTTTGTGGGGACCAGATGATGGCTTGGGGGCCTAACAAACACATTTGAAACCAAATTTCCATCAAACCCAAATCAAAATAAGGCAAATATTGTAGATTTACTGAAGAAATTCTTCATTTTTTTTTCAGTTGGGGTCCCAAATAAACACATTTGAAACCAAATTTCACATTAAACCCAAGCCAAAATGAAGCAAAAATTGTAGATATAACGGAAATTTTTTCATTTTTTTTTTCTCATCTGGGAGCCTTAAAAAAACACATTTGAGACTAAAATTTAAATTAATCCCAAATCACAATGAGGGACGAGACTGCAGGTTTAATGAATGTTTCTTCATTTTTTAAAATTTGAGGAAGAGGGTTTTAGGGTTTTACTTACAAACGTACCACCAAGCTTGTCGAGCATCCAATGCTTTGGGGCATTGAGCCTCTTCAAATGCTTCTTCAGTCCTCTAGCCTGTAAAATACAACATAAAACCAACAGTTATACACACAACAGAGATCTCTAGAGAGAGAAAGAAGAGGAGAGCGATAGAGATAGACAGAGAGAGTACCATGTTTGCAGAGTGAGATGCAGAAACCCTAGGCGAGGAGGAGGATACAGAGGGACGAAACGGCGGAGAGGCTTAAGATTTATATGGGCGAGTGAAAAATGAGATGGGGTTTTAGGGTTGGGGAATTGGAGAGTGAGATTTAGTGTGGTCGAGCTCAGAATAGGCGGGGACTTTGGGGGGATCTGATTAGTTGTGGGTGTGGGACCCCATTAGTCTAGCCACTCATTTGTTTCCTTTCCTCATCAACAAAAATATTACGTCACACTTTTTTTGCTAATAATATGTTACTAATTCGTAATCAGAATCAAAACAAAAGAGTTATAATTAAGTTTTCCATGTGTCATCAATATGGCAAAATTATATTTTTTCAACTTATTATAGATTAGTAAATCGATAACGCACTGTCATAAGTTATTACGTGAAAGTGCATAAAAATTTTGAAATACCACATCAATATCTTGTGCAAAAGTTAATAGAGAACATTAAAAGTTTAGAAGACGCTTTGTTACAGTAACGAAAAACAATAATACTTATTCGCATGGACATACTCTCTCCAAGAGAGTTGCTAAACTCGTTTCTTCAAATTTAGGACCTGTACTATAGTTTCTAAGTTTAGAGAGTTTCTAACCAGGTCTTCAGTCATTCTTTTTGTTACCACTGGGAGAGGGAAGTAAGAACCACCGTCGGATTACTCCCCAACCGAAGGAATAAAAGATCATGACCGTCGGATTAATCCAAAACCAAAGAAAAACATAGTCAAAGCACCACAAAGCAGAGTCAAAGCACCGAACGCGGGTAAATTGTTGCCCGCGGCTCTTATCAAGGTTACAATTTCTTTTCACGCACGAATAAGTTTCAGACTTCTCTCAAAACGTCTACGGCGGCGAACCCAAAACCCCACCCTTTTTAACCGATCCAAAATTTTCACCTTGTCCGACTCCCAGATCAACTGAGAATTTTATGGGTTGTTGCTGATTTGGCTGCCGATTCAAGCTTTACAGCAATGGCCTCGAATCCGGAGAACGAACCTACGGCCTCGAGAGAGGTCGAGAAGCCACCGATTGAGCCCATACGGCTGCCCACGGTGGAGGAGATGCGCGGCCAAGACATTTGGAACAACTGCGCCGTACGCAGCGTTGTTAGTGGAGTTATGGGTATGGCTAAAGCTCATTCCTTCGGCTTAATTTTTGGATTTTCTGACATGGGTTTTGATTCTTTTATCGTCTTTCTCTGTTTGGTTGCTGAGAAAATGTGGGAAAGTTTCTGCCTTTTTTCTGTTGGGTTTATTTTTTTCCTTTATCTCTGTTTGGCTGCCGAGAAAACGTGGGAAAGATACTGTCCTTTTGTTTGTATGTTGTCTCGAATTATATTTTTGTGGGTTTCAGAATGTGCAGAAGAGGGGTGTATCAGTAAGGATGTGATAGATTTAGTTGTTCACACCAATTTGTTACTGTTGGGGTTTGAATGTATCGAAAAAGGTCTAAATTTCTTTATTTTAAAGTGAGTATTGTGGTTTGCTCAGTGGAGCAAACTCTACCAGAAGGTTACATTGACATTGTAGTTTGATTTTGGCCCAGAATCACTTGGAAGTGCTTCCTGAAGAAGTGCTTCTATGACCAAGAAGAGCTTTTAAGTTTATCAACTAGAGTTTTTCCTTGTACTTGTGTATAGAAATTAATAGTAAACGGATGTACTTTGTGAGCAGTACTTCTCCAAGGCTTTTAGGGTCTTAAAATCTAATTATGTTGATCGGTAATTCTTTAAGCTTTGGGAATTTTATAGGTGGTGGGCTTGGGTTGATGATGGGTTTGCTTCTCGGAGCGTTAGACAACCCTATAATGCAAGACGAAATGACTGGTAAACAGCAATTCATTTATCAAGCAAAGTCGATGGGCCGGAGGAGTTGGAGTTCTGCAAAAGCATTTGCAGTTATGGGATTTGTTTTCTCAGCAGCTGAGTGTGTTGTTGAAAAGGTATTTTGGAATATGTCAAAATTCATGATCTTAATTTTTATGCTACCATTGAGGTTTAATTTCTTTGATGTAGGGACTAATTCTGGATTATTGTTTTCAGGCACGAGCTAAACATGACACAACAAATACAGTTGTTGCTGGATGTGTAACTGGTGGTGCACTCTCAGCCAAAGGTAACCAATTTTCCATCAGTTTTCATTTTTTCATCGTTGATTTACAAGGCTTTAAACTGACATAGAGATCTAATACTTTAAATGAAATCCGTAAATCTAGGGCCTTACGTAGTCTATATATGAGCATTATCAACTCCGCATTGGGGCATATCACCATAATGATTCTATTTGGACTATTGCGTTCCCTATCTTCTCCTTTGGAAAGTCCCATCTTTTTGTTTAACAGTTTGAAAATATATGTTCATTTGAGCTGCTGGTTTGAACTGATTGTATTCAGACAAGGCGTGGGGAAGATAAGTAATATGCTTGTCATAGCTGATGAATGGTGTTATTAAAAATCTAAAACCTCCTAACGTAAACTTTTGAAACTAAAACCATATACCTAAGGGGTTAGTGCTTAGTTTTAGGTCGATATTGAGCTGATCTTTGACGTTAACTTGCAGAAGCTACATGGTTTCTTCTCTTGTCCAAGGATTCGTTTTGAATCAAGTAATTATAGGTTGATTCTTTGTTGTACTTATTAATATTTCACGATAACCTAAAATATTAAGGCCTCGTTTGGCAGCTCGGACTGTACTGACTATTTCCGTCGGATAGGATAAATAGTCACCGGATAGTACTGACTAAATTAGTCGGGCGTTTGGTGCAGTATCGGACTAATGATCGTATTATTTATACTGTGTTTGGTACTGAACCGGATAGGATAAGGGAAAAAAAAATTTGACAAATCTTTGTTTGTTTATCGAACTTTTCTCATATTTATACTTATTGAAAACCACACAAATTTTCAAATAACAAAGAAAAATAGTAAATTCCATACATCAAATTCAAAATATTTTCCAATTGTGATGGAAGGTTCACAAAAAACAACTACAGTCGTTACGTTATATAGATTAACCCAACCACATATCCAAGTTCATATAATATACAAATGTAAGTTAGTTTCAGTAAGAAACAGTTTGTCCAGATAGCCAAAATATATGCATGCTGCTGCTTTGCTTTCAATAAGAAGCAATTTGTCCACCAAACAATTGTTTCCTGCAATCATAAAGGCCAGATGCATTAATGTCGCAAACACTAAGCCCAAACAACCAATAAGAGAAATTGAACCAACAAAACCAAGACAACCCGACTAAAAATCTGATAAATGCAATGAATAAAATAACTTAAAAAGCTTAAAAGAAGCAAGATTTGAAAGCCTAACCCGAAGGAAGAAGGCCTTCTATTTTAAGACAGAAATATTGCTCACCAAACAATTGCATTGTATCTGTACAAAACTAATAGCCAACAAATCTGTACAAAACTAATAGCCAACACTCCCAACTTCAAACAGTCTGAAAATTGCTTCTCAAGCGTTCCAAAGTAGCTCGGTGGGGCAATTGCCTGAAACTGATCCCTTTCAAAGTTGAAGGAATTTATAAGCTCCACGAAGATAAGCATTGAAGGGCAACTGACAACCAAGGCTCCCAGAAGCACTTCCAATGCTTCTCCAAACCCCTGTACCAATGGTGTATATCTCAGCTTCATATATAGCTGCACTTATCATTCCTGATGGATTCACTCAATGGAACAAACTTTTGCAACACCTTATACTCATTAATCCCAACACTAAATCCAAGTCCAACGGATGTAAAATTAGGCCTAGCCCTATCGCTCCGCGGCACTGTGATGAACTCATCCAAAATTGGATTGCAGACATACAAAAGGTCCCCTCTTGGGGTCCGAACAAGCAAACTAAACCATTGCAAGAGTTTATCAGATTAAATTCAGAAATGGGCATGCTAAATTTGGGAGTAAACCTCAGTTTCTGTGTAGCGAAAGCAAGAACCGGAGGATTCCTCAATCTGGGTAAAATCGAGCCTCCTTGTTATGCTTTTGGGACGGAAAGTCTTGATCAGTATGCCAATGGGGGATCGTGAAGTGCAGAGAAGGGAAAATTGAGGATCCAAAATTAGAGTAAACCAGGATTGTATCTGTACAAAACTACTAGCCAACAAATCTAGAAACCCTAATTTGCCCCCAATAAACCCTAATTCGAACCCCAACAAACCCTCATTCGACCCCAACAACAAACCCTAAATTCGAAAATTCTAATTAAAACACAAAATTACATAATCAATTGCATAATTACAGAGAAAACAATAACTAAATTCAAACAATTGAAAGAAAATTGCAAGAAAAATAGAAGGAGGGGGAAGAACAGAGGGAGGGGCGGAACCTGGGAAGAAGAAGAAGAATGAGAAGACAATCCTGGGAGGGTGCGTCTGGAGATGACCGGTGCGGCTGGAAAGGAAGGAGAGAGCGAAAGATTTTCTTGTACCGTCTGGAGAGGAAGAGAGAGCGAGAGTGCGTTTTCAGGGGGAAGGAGAGAGCGGATGCATGAAGCCGACTAAATTGTACCGTGCTTTTAGGGAGGATAAGGAAACGGGTGCCTACCGTATAAAGTAAGTGGGACCGGATTATTTATTCCGGTGGCTATCTAATACGAACGGACACCAAACACTGTACTCCATATTATTAATCCTATCCGGTGTACCAAACATGGCCTAAGTGGTTGCATATGCCTATTTACTTAATCCGGTATCATAGTTAAAATCAGAGTTTCAACACTCTGTAACTGAGTTCAGCCATAGGTTCTGATTTTTTTTGCTCATTATGAGGTCAAAACAGGAATCCAGACCCCATGACTCTAGTTATGTAGAATGTTGGTAACTTCCTTTGATGGAACACTCCCTTGCCCTAGCCTTGACTTGGGTATAGAGGGCAGTCATCGAGTAAGCCTCCCTGAAATATATGTGATATAAAACGGGTAAAAGAATGAGTAGATCAGACAAGTACCGGCCTTGTTGGTGTTATTCTCATTATAGTCCTGCTATCTGCATAATTTGTTTTCATGCATGTTAAGATTACTCTTACACCTCCTCATGTTGTCCTGTTGTAGCTGGTCCACAAGCGGCCTGTGTTGGTTGTGCCGGCTTTGCTGCATTTTCGGTGCTGATAGAGAAGTTTTTGGATAGACATGATTGAGTTTGAGCGCGGTGCCTGTGCTGCCCCAGTTTTGCAGACACTAGAAATATGACAATTCAGTAGAAGAGCCCTGCGGTGATACAAATGCTTTTGCTTTAGGTTCAACTTCAGCCAATAATTTATCCGAAATTTATCAAGGGATGTTCTGGCGAACATACAAATCTAAATTTTTTGTATTATGTATTTATTTATGAACGGCCGCGGGGTTTATAACTCCAGTTGTAGACGGTTTTATTTCATGTCAGAATCTACTCCGAAGTTTTAGATAAGAATCAACATGATCAATGATTTAGATTCATAGTCTAACAAACGGCCACCCAAACGAAAGGTTTCATTTCCGGTAGGAAGTCTACACCCAAGGAAGACATTCAGATTCTGAGAAGAATGTTTAGGCTCTAAAGAAATTAAGTTGCTTGCTGGATTAGGCATTCACATTCGCTCCTAAAATGTTCGTTATTCCTTTCCCTCCACAGACAGTAAACACTAAACAGTAGCATCAAAGCTAAAATCTTTATGGTAACAAGTCACCATATTCCCTATCTTGGTAAAGCAAAGAATCTTGTTTTATAAAGCCGACAGGGAAACGGGAACCATCCTGCATTTCCTCGTCATACATACTTCACTTCCCGATTTCTTCTTCTTCTCCGCTCTCAATCGGTTTTCTAAGTTTCGAACCCTGAAAATGGTTGATGTGCTTGTTTCCACACTGCTAGAAAAGTTGGCTTCAACAACTTATCAATATGTAGCGGACGAGGTGAAACTCGTTCTGAACGTTAAGAAAGAAGTTGAAGAGTTCACTAGCAACCTGGAAGCTATTGAATCTGTGCTTGAGGATGCAGAGCATAGGCAAATCAAGGAGGCCAACGTGCAAAACTGGCTGGACAACCTAAAGGAAATATCGTACCAGATGGTGGACGTGCTGGATGAGTGGAATACTGAGATTCTGAGACAACAGGTTGAGAAACAAGAAAGAGAAGGTGTAACTCGTATTGCTTCTCAGAGAAAGGTATGTTTCTCTATTTTCGCTCGTTGTTTTTGTCTTGGCCAAGCCGGGGAGGTACTTAACCGTCGTGAAATTGCTATGAAGATAAAGACCTAAATGAGATGTTAGCTGAGATTTATAAGCAAAGAAAAATGTATAATTTTCAACTCACTGAAAAAGTCATTCAAAAACAGCAAACTTCGTCTTTTGTCGATGTATCTGAGATATTTGGTCGAGAAAAGGAAAAAGAGAGTTTGATAAGGAAGTTGGTGAGTGATACTAGTGAACAAGGGAGGGGGCTCCTTATCATCCCTATTGTAGGGATGGGAGGTATGGAAAAGACAACTTTAGCTCACCTAGCCTATAACGATGTCAATGTTAAAGCCCATTTTCATGAGAGAATATGGGTTTGTGTGTCGGAACCTTTTGATGTGATAATGATTGCCAAAGCGATTAGTGGTGATGCCTACCCAAGTTCAAATGAGTTGGATCGTGTCTTACAATCCATGTCTAAATCCATTAGGGGAAAAAGTTTCTTCTTGTGTTGGATGATGTGTGGACTGAAGACCGTAAAAAATGGGACCAGTTAAAGTTTTCATTGATGCAAAATGGTGCTGAGGATAGTAGAATATTGGTTACCACGCGAAAACAAAGTATTGCTTTTATGATGAGAGCAACTCCTCACATGATTAATCTTGGAGAGTTAAGTGAACATAATTGTTTGTCAATCTTTAATCATATGACATTTCCAAATAGGGAAGTAGTACAACATGAGGTGTGAAGGAAATTTTGTGAAAAACATGTTCATTTGAGCAACACCTATAGCATGCAATTAACAATTAAAGGCGGAAACTGATACGACCAATATTGCATACATTTTAATGCCCTTTAGTTTAGATTTTTGTTATGTTTTTGAGTGAATTTAGTTTGTTTCATTTAGTTTTATGTTTTTCTTAGATTTGAAGAGTGAAGATGAAGAAAGAAGAAAAATGAGCATTTTGGCGATTGAAGTGAGTAATGTGCCCTGGAAGCAGAAGCTGTTTGTGCAGATCAGCCAACTTGACGGAATAAACTGTACTTCCTCAGAATGAACCAGCTGTTGAACCCTATACCATTGGAAAGATATGGATGTTAGCTTTCAGAGGAATTTTACGGACTGTGATTTCGAGTTTCCTAGACGATGTTATGAAAGTTTTTGTACAAGACGTCGGTCAGCCAAGTCTACGCGGAAATTGCAAAGTCTGTTGGGTTTTTCAAGTCATAATTCAGTCGAAGCCCAAAGCCCAAGATAGAAAACGTTGGAGATGATTTTAGTCCTATTTCAAATGGGTCTGGAGTAATTTACTTGGGAAACTTACCTGCCACATCATCAATTATCCAATACAAATGAGGAAAAGATTAAAAAAAGACCTAAGGATGCTAGGATTTTGACGAATCTATAAGGGAGAGATTGTAGGAAGCAAAGGGGGTTCTCTGGTGAGGGATTCTCTGCTTGTTTTTGGAGGAGCAGCAGCCGCTTTCCATCTTTCCTAAGTTTTTCATGTTCTTAATACTTTTAATTATGTTTTCTTATTTTATGAGTAACTAAACTCTTTTTCTAGGGTTAGGATGATAGCATGAATGTCTATGGTTTTTAATGTTATTCATTGGATTTCTAGTTTCTTTTAGATGAATGCTTAATCACTGTTTGAATTGTTACTGTTTGTTTGAGTTCTTTGATTGATCACCTTAGGACTTTGCATCTAGTAAGATTCGAAGATGAATTTGAGGCTAAACTAGCAATATAATTCAATTAGCTTCTTGTGGTTAAGTGTGGTAAATTACATTATTGCTTGACAAAGAATAATGGTTTGCTTGGTTCCCTTGTTTTCTAGAGCGTAAAGAGTCCTACTTGTTAAATTTATGCCTTAACTAGGATAGACTGCATGTTAGGATATACGACATCTGCCTGAACTAGGAGAGAATCATTCACTTAAGGAAAACTATGGTCTAATGTGCCTGACAATGACTTAGATACGGGAATTATCATCTAAAGAATTGAAAGATCCATTGAATGCATTGAAACCTAAATTAGATTGCTTTTGGTTGATTCCGAATCCCTAGACTTTTCATCACTTGCCTTAAAACACAACATTTTCTTCTCTTTAATTTCAGTTGTTACTTAAGGTTCTGTTTTTGTTTGTTTATAAAATCATCACAACAAATTCTTCACATCCTTGATTGACTTTATTAATTAAGATCGAGTCTAGTCCGTTGTTTGAATTTATAGTTTTGTGTTTGTGTGTTATTAATATTATTAGATTTGGTTTAGTTTATCGAATTGGAGATTGAATTAGAATCCTCGTGGGAACGATACTTGGACTTGCAAAACGCTATATTACGACTACTTTGTGCACTTGCAAGTTTACACCAGAAACATGCTTGTATGCACTCAAAACAAAACATTACCCATGAAATTCAAAGCCTAGTAGTTAGGTGAACCAAGACTCAACTCAAAACAAAGTGAGTTGAGAAATTTATACCTTTGTTGATTCCTCTTTGCATAAGCAAAGGATAATCACCCAAGAGATAAAGCATTCATTCCTTGCTTCTTAGCTCCATGGATTTGGATGGAATAATTGGTTTCTCCAAGTTCTCAAAGTTGAGAACCTCTAAGTCTCCACACCAAGGAATGATTGATGAAGAAATGAGTGACCTAGAGGAAGTAAGATTGCTAGCTATGTTCCCTTAGTGTGGGCGGCCTCTTAGAGAGCAAAGAGAGCTTTTGTTCTCATCTTTTCTCCCAAAAGAAACCCTAATGAAGGCTATAAAGTCATATTTACCTACCTTCATTGGAGTGGCAAACTTGTAATAAGTCCAAAACCCACTCCATTATCAATATGGCCGGCCATAGGGTGTTATTGGGTTGTTTGGGCCTTTGTGAATATTTAGTCATTAAGTTGTCATACAACTTAAGTCAATGGGCTTGACGTTCGAAGCCCATTGGGCATTAAGGCCCAAAACTAACCCTAGGTCTTTTAACGAACTTTATTCATTTGATTAATTAACATATTAATTAATTCTTGCCATAAATAATTAAACCATTTAATTATTCTTACTCATCTCCGTTGTTTCTTCAATCTTTACCTTACACGGTGTACGATCCATTAGGTTCCTTTTAGCGAGGCAGTGGGCGATTAGAACTCTTTCAAATCGATTGTGAATTGAAACTTACTTTCAATTCTCCCTTTAGTGATTATACACGTTTAGGGCTTCCACAAACCATGAGTGACACCTAGCAGTATGTCATGGTTACCTAAGCTAATCAGAAGAGGTGGAGAACCTATTCAGTTTAGGATTACAATGCAATACGGTATTTCTCTAATACAATACTCTTGACCACATTGTTTGGATTGATAGTTTATTCATGTCTACTATCCAATGTGATTCATTTACTTATATGATTACCTTGAATGTGATTTGGAATGACTTCCTAAATCTCATTCATACTCTGGCCAGAGATTCTTAATCATATCATAGAGTATTCTCCCTCAAACGGTTTGAAGGTTAGAGATCCCTTATTGCGCATTCACTTGCCTCCATGGCTAAGTGGCTTAACCCCAACTATGTCGTGGACACCCTCTGATGGAGTGACTTTGACATAGTCAAAGATCAAGGACTTAACCACAAGACAACTATGATACCTCAGTCCCAACCATGAGTTCTCATGTGACATGAGTATGAGAACTCCTCGTTGATCGTGTTCAGTGGACTCATTCGCTATTGAGCACCTACATGCTTGTCTTGGTGTCAATCACACCAATGACTCCAGACCAGTCACTCTCCATGAGAGAAGACACAGCACGTACTGATCTTAACGGACTGTCAATGCCCAATTGGCAATCCTATGATCAGGAACGTTTAGGATATGTATAAGAAAGAGAATGGTCTCATAAATCTAACTTGTTTAAATTACATATTCCTTGGACTTATCGTTTAAGCATATGACATTTATATGAGACGGCTTAAAACAATAATTTTTGCCCTTGATATTAAACTCGATTAGTTTAACATGTGAAATGTCCATAAGTATCATCACATGATTGGTTTTAGGGCACATTTCCAACAAGGTGTTTGGAGATATCAATAAGGAAATTGTAAAGAAGTGCAAGGGTTTGCCTCTTATTGCAAAGACTTTAGGTAGTATGATGCGCAAGAAGAGAAAAAGGTGCGAATGGTTAAACATTTTGAATACTAAAACATGGGATTGGAAAGAAGTGGAGCAAGAAGTTTTCCAACCATTATTTCTAAGTTATTATGATTTGGCCCCAAGAGATAGATGTTGCCTTTTATGTTGTGCTATTTTTTCAAAAGATTATGAGTTTATTAGGGATAACTTGATTAATCTTTGAATGGCACAAGATTATCTTAATTCAAAAGAGAATAAAGATAAGGAAAAATTGGGTCAAACTGTTTTTGATAGCTTGGTTGCGTGGTCTTTTTTTCAAGATTTTGTAAAAGACCATAACACTGCTACAGTAATGCGTTGCAAGATGCATGATATTGTAAGTGACTATGTGCAATTTATCACCAAGAAGGAATGTTTGATTACAAAGGCTAAGGGGGCTAATCGTGAAATAGAGGTATTGGGCAGTAAGGTTCGCCATTTGACCTTAACGTCTGTAGTTGATAGTCCAACTTTACGTTCTATCACTTTTGAATATTGCAAAAATCTGCGTACGCTCATAATAATTCACTTGAACGTTGATATAGTGTACGCTATTTCACAATTTAAATGTCTTAGGACAATAAATTTGTCTCAGAGTTCCATCAAAGAACTCCCAAAGGAGATTGGTGAATTAATACATTTGAGACATATTGATTTGTCCAGGAGTCAAAATTTGGGGAAATTACCGGACACCATTTGTGGTTTATGCAATTTGTATACCTTAGACCTTCGGAGATGCAATTCACTTAAAAAATTGCCTGGTAACATGGGAAAGTTGACAAGCTTAAAGCATCTGTACGTGGGGTTAAGCGGTTTGGAGTACTTGCCGAAAGAGATCGAGAGCTTAACAAATTTGCACACACTAGATGTGTGTACTCTAGTTTCTATTGACAACGGCGAAGCATTTTAAGCTCGAGATTTGTGAACCTTGAACCAGCTCCACGGCAGCCTCACAGTAAGAATATTGGGCAAGGTGAAAAATGGGAGACAAGTTAGTGAAGCACATTTGCGGGACAAGAAGCAACTTTTTCATCTCGTACTTTCTTTTGGTGAAGGGCTGGACGAGCTTGGACAAAGCAATGTAAGAATAATGAATGTCTTACGATCGCATGATGATCTTGAATCTTTAGTGATTTATGGGTACGTTGGCTCCACCTTGCCGAATTGGTTGATGTCTTTAAACAAGCTGCGATTCCTTACTCTGCAAGATAATTCGGCTTGTGAATTGACTCCTATTGGGAGATTGCGGTTCTTCGAAAAACTGTACGTATGAGGGATGTCGGGTGTACGAAAGATTGGTGGTGAGTTCTTGGGAGTAGAAGAAGATGATCAAACATCTTCCCCGTTCAAATCATCCTCATCAATGTTATTCCCGAAACTGAAGTTACTCTACTTTAACAATATGTAGTCCTGGAAGGACTGGGAAGGTGTGAAATAGTGGAACGAAGTGGATTCTGAAATTGCAATCATGACATGCCTTTCGTCCTTAAAAATAGGGCAATGCTATGCGCTAGAAACGCTGCCAGACTTCCTCTGCAAAATACCACTGCAGAATCTTTCCATTTTTGTGTGTCTGAAACTTGCCGAACATTGCAAAGAAGGCAGTGGAGATGAGTGGCATAAGATTTCTCATATCCCAAACATCAAGATTCTAAATATACCGTCAATGGCGAATCGTCATATTATCAAGGATATTGCTGAGGGCGTAAATGAAACTGTAGGGACACGAAACTTCTCAGGGATTTAAGTATGTCTTCTACTAAATGGTTGTGGTTATATTACTTGCAATATCTCCCAGGCATGGTTGTATTTCAACTCTATTGAACTGTCATTTTTGTGTGACCCCTTTCACCACCTCCTCCTCCTCCTCTTCTGCTCCGTTTCACTTTCTCCAACTTCCGCCACTTATTCGGAGAGCAAAAGTAGTAGCAACAAAGTCATGGTGGAGCTCTACTACGAAACACTGTGTCCCAACAGTTATCAACCATTGTCAATGATCTAATTAAGCTCTTCAAACCAGAATCATCTTCATCACCTATCTAAAGCTCTATCCCTTCGGCAATGCCAGGATTAGATCCAACAGCACCATCACTTACCAAGTCTCTCTCTATCTGATTATACTTGGCTCATCGAATTCGTTTATGCACACAAATTACAGTTTGAAGTGTGTGTGAAAATAATTTCTTTTGCTCTAAGAGAAGAAATTACTTTTGAATATGTGTCAACTTGTAGTTTGTTCGTAAAGACGAAATCAATGTTTTTAATACTATTGCCATGGAAACTTTCGTCGTTGTTCAAAATTAACTGATTTCGTACTTACCAGCCCATAAACACCTAATAAGCTCTCATTTTCTCTTTCAGCTTTCCTAGTCCAATGGCTTCCTCTCGGCTCGAACGTAGAACCCTTTCTTTTTCTCTTTTGTCTTGCCTCTTCTTGGTTGTTGTGTTCACACCCCCTTCGTCTTCTACAGACAGAACTCCACCTTCGGATTCTAGTAAAGTTTCACTGGCTTTGTATTACGAGTCTCTTTGCCCCTACAGCCCCAACTTCATTGTGAATTACCTTGTCAAGCTCTTCAAAGACGAGTTTATCTCCATTGTTGATCTCAAGGTTTCTCTTTGGGGTAAGGCCAAGCTCAGAAGCAATGACACATTCACTTGCCAGGTCCTCTCATCCAATACTGTTTTCTTGGGTTTTCATTTGCATTTCTAATTCAATTTATTGACTTAGTTATTTCTGATGGTTGCAGCATGGTCCATTTGAATGTTTATTCAACACTGTGGAAGCATGTGTAACAAAAATCTAGCCTGCACTGGTAAGCCTTGAAAATTCGTCACTTCGTAAAATGAAGGATCTTGCATGTGCTTATAAGAGAAGGGAAGAACTTATTGGGTGTTTATGGGGTTAAGTTAAACCGTTTAGATTTATCTAATGAATTCTTTGTAGAAATTTTCGTAGATTCATTATGTATTTCAATCTACTTGTATTGAAATTCAGTTCAACAAAACGTTTGTGTATTTCATCATGTGTTAGTAATACAAGTGAGAGCTCTTATAGAGAGGCTGAGCAAGGTAAAAAACCCATTGAACAATTACAAACAACTACAAGAAAGAAACCAAAAGATAAAAAAGGCTATCCCTAGTTGCAAGTTACAAGAAATCTAGAACTGAGATACTAGAAGACATTAACCTTAGAATTAAAGGATTGGAACAAAAAACAAGTTGGTAACAAAAGTGACGGTTTAGTAGCAACTGCAACTCTACCCGAGAATGAGGGCTAGAGTTGTAGTTGCAACTTGAACTTTGATGAGCTGTGATGTGCCTTGAACACCTTCAAACATAGACCCAACTAAACTCTAGCATGCTCATAACCGGTTAGTTTCAATACTCTCTCTCAAGCTGGATCAAGAGTGTTAATTGATCCAAGCTTGCTCAGTAATCTTTGGAAATGAGTAGAGTCGAGAGCTTTTGTGAAAAGTCAGCAAGTTGATCGTAACTTCGAGTGTACACTGTGTTGATGACTTTGGATTGGACTTGAGCACGGATTAATGACAATCAACCTCAATATGCTTTGTTCTCTCGTGAAAATTTGGGTTCGAAGCTATGTGCATGACAGCTTGGTTGTCACAAAACAAAGACATAGGTTCCTTGTCAATGTAGCCAAGGTCAGCTAGGAGACTCTTTAACCACATTAATTCACAAGCCGTGGCTGCCATGGCTCTTTGCTCAGCCTCAGCACTTGATCGCACAATCACCGTTTGTTTTTAACTCTTCCATGTCACAAGATTACCACCAACAAATGTACAGAAACCAGTGGTAAACTTGCGATCGAGGGCATTACCTGCCCAATCAACATATGTGTATGCCATAATGTGATTTGAGCCATGTTTCTTCATGAGCAAGCATCTGCCAATTAACCCCTTCAAGTATCTAAGTATTCTTTTAACAATCTCCCAGCGAATCAGTGTGGGAGAGTGCATAAATTGGCTGACAAGGCTTACTGAATAAGCAATATCAGGTCATGTAATTGTGAGGTAAAACAGCTTTCCTACCATATGTTGATAGACACTAGGGTTTGACAATGGTTTACTTTGGACATCTAATTGAAGTTTATTCATAAGAGGGGTACGTGCTGGCTTGCAATCCAACATGCGAGCTTCATCCAATAGGTCAAGTACATATCTTCTTTGATTTAAGAACAAACCCTTGGAGGATGTGGCCATTTCAATACCAAAAAAGTACTTTAAGATTCCCAAATGCTTAAGAGCAAATTGTTGATGAAGAGAGGATTTGAGGGCATTGATTTCTTGTATGTTATCTCCCATTATAATAAGATCATCAACATATATAAGGATAACGAGCTTACCACTTGTAGCAGTGCGAACAAACAAAGAAGAATCGACATGACTCCTTTTGAACCCTGAAACTTCAAGGACGGAGCTCAACTTCGAGTACCAGGCTCGGGGGGATTGCTTAAGTCCATATATAGCTTTGTGAAGCTTGCAAACTTTGTTAGTTTCATTCTCTTGTGGATGTCCGAGACAAAGCTTCATGTATACCTCCTATTCAAGTGAGGAATGCATTTTTCACATCCATTTGAAATAGAGACCAATCATGATTAACTGCTACAGACAGAAACACTCGTACCATGCTCATTTTGGCTACAGGAGCAAATGTCTCCTTGTAGTCAATGCCATAAGTTTGTGTGAAACCACGGGCTACTAATCGAGCCTTGTGTCTTTCAATACTGCCATTTGAATGGAACTTTGTCTTGTATATCCACCTACTCCCTACTGCCCTTTTTCCCTTTGGAAGGTCAACCACACTTCATGTTTGGTTGTCATTCAGTGCTTTGAGCTCTTCTTTCATTGCTTCCTACCACACTTGAATGTGAGCAGCTTCATTGAAGTTCCTTGGTTCAACATTAGTGGACAACTGATTGAGAAATGCTGCATAGGATGTTAACAGTTTTTGATAGGTTAAAGCTTTGGAGATGGGATATTGAAATTCAGTTCAACAAAACGTTTGTGTATTTCATCATGTGGTAGTAATACAAGTGAGAGCTCTTATAGAGAGGCCGAGCAAGGTAAAAAACCCATTGAACAATTACAAACAGCTACAAGAAAGAAACCAAAAGATTAAAAAAAGGCTAGCCCTAGTTGCAAGTTACAAGAAATCTAGAACTAAGATACTAGAAGACATTAACCCTAGAATTAAGGGATTGGAACAAAAAACAAATTGGTAACAAAAGTGACGGTTTAGTATTAGCTGCAACTCTACCCAAGAATGAGGGCTAGAATTGAAATTGCAACTTGAACTTTGATGAGCTGTGATGTGCCTTGAACACCTTCCAACATAGACCCAACTAAACTCTAGCATGCTCAGAACCGGTCAGTTTCAATAACTTGGATTATTGAGTGTTCGTACTATATAGGGTTGTCGGTTGGTTTTACAGATATGTATCTTAATTTGGATGCCATTTATGGAGTTATGTTGGACTTAACAGAAAGTAATATTTAAGCTTAAATTGCTAACTTCTGGTTCACTGTCACTGTTGTGCAGAATGATCTTTTCCTTTCGTTAATTGCGCCAAGAGTTTGGTTTACGAGCACAAGTAGACCCAGTGGGAGTCGTGTTACGAGAAACTGGGCTTGGATTCAAAACCTATTACTGAATGCTACAGCAGTGGACATGCATGGTAAAGAGGTTAGTTTTCTCTGCTTCTTGTATTCAGCTCATTAATTATTCAGGCATGTGCACAAAAACAGCGTTAGGTAGAGGTGAAGCGTAGGAGGGATCACGCTGAAACTTCTTTTTGACGTTTCACTGATTCTTGATCATGTCATTTTTGGAACAACCTATGGTGTTCTGTTGAGTAGGACAGTGCAAATTCTGAGGTTTGTTCCTTCCTCATGATCATATTGCTCAATGCTATTACGATTGTCACCAAGTTTGGGTTATGCATATGTGGTTTTTTTTCATTTGCACTACTGATGGTTATTTTGATTATCGTTCTATTATCGGGATTTTCAGGAAATGACATTCTTCTCCTGTTGTAGGACTACGAAAACTTTCTGAGCTATGTCTGCAATGCCTGTAACGGCACCACTGCGCTCAAGGCTTGCAGTAGATTTTCCCTCAGTACCATCCAAAACGAAAGTTCGAAATCTACGCGTTCAGTTGGCTACAACGAGGGAAATATGGCAGCAGTAAGAGGAAGAATAGGATCGACCATAACATCGTGGATCCGTCAAATGAACCTGGCAATTTTGATATGGACGTTTATGGTGTAATAGCTTGAAGTTCATGTAGCTTGTTCATATTTCCCGTTTCCAGTGGAGTGCAGATGCTTGTGAGTTGGTTGGTGCTGAACTAAGACACTGTGCCGGGAATTTGTTTTTCGCATTACTATTCTCAATTAATATACAGGAATAGAAATATGTAGTGTAAAAGAATGTCTGTTTATTTAATTTGAATTTATAACACAGTAGATTTTAATATTGAATTTTTTTTTTAAAGTTGGAGAGCAATTTGTATGTCACGAGTACTTTGTTATTGGTGACGTCTGGTATCAATCAAATCTTCATATTAACTCTTAAAATCACTAGCTATTTGAGTGAGGTGGTAAAGAAATTAAGTATTGTAACGCTTATGTTGCCGGACTATAAATATAAATTTCTCATAAGAGTTGATTATTTCTTAGATTTGCCATGTATGGTGTCAGATTGATTATTGCTTAGGTACATGTATGGTGCAAATGTCTGATAACATGAGAATATCCTCACAGCTACTGTGACAAGAGAAAGTTACCATTTCAAAGTGTGGTGCTATATTTCTATCTACTCCTCAATGCCAAACACTTTCTTTATTTGGGTGGACTGAAGGACCCATAGGGTTTCATGGGCTGGTCGCAGACTCGCAGTAGCTCCATAAAAACTCCCAACCTACTTGAAAACTGGATTGGATTCCCAGGTGCTACATAAGAGCATTTTTAAGAGAAGCTTTAAATTTTTGTTAAACTAGTAAATGAACATTGTTAAAAAAAATTAGATATCAGTTAAATTTTCATCTCAAACAATACTCTCTATTTTAACAAACTTCGAATATTTTATTATTAACAATTCAAACTCAACCCACACATTTTCTAAAACATCATTCTCTCTGTTCTTTTTCTCCTTGCTCAAGGGTCTACCCTTGAGTTTTATTATTTTTTTTAATATTTAGTTGATGAATAATTACTCTGTAAATTTAAAGAGTGACTATTCATTTTGTTTAAATTCATATTGATTCTTTTATAGAATCTCTTGGAGTTGCTCAAAGTTAAGAGACTCCCCAAAACTATGCTAAGCATGCATCGTTGGTTTTGGTATGGAAAAACTTTTCAGTGTTCATGTCATGCATTAGTTACATGGTACTTTTACTCTAGTTGCTATAATATGGTGAACCATAACATTTTTTATCATTGATCTATTATAAATAGGAGTCTTTTTTATATCATTTTTTTAGTTCATGTTCATTAATCTTTTTTATTTCATGTTCATTGATCTATTAGTTACATGGTACTTTTACTCTAGTTGCTATAATATAGAGTGGAATACACTGATCAATGGGTCAAAACTTTTGGACCCAGGACAGAATTATTCTCCTGCAACCTTCACTTTTGAAAATCCTGGCGCAAATCCTATAAAATATATATTCATCAAGAAAGACACGCTATTTAAGATAACGGGTATTACACAAAAACTACACTAACACAAAAAAGACGAAGCCAGATGTTTCCCATTGCATCTCTATTAACCAATGATGCTAGCTCAATGATAAAAAATGTTATGCTAGCTCAATGATAAAAAATGTTATGGTTCACCATATTATAGCAACTATTACAAAGACTCCTATTTACAATAGATCAATGAACATGAAATAAAAAAGATTAAAACCACTTAAACTGATTACAAGAAAATCCTAAAAATTGGGAAAATAAAAGCTAGTAGGTTCACTGCAGATGGCTAGAAACTTAAGGAGTAATTGGAACGTCACTCTTCTTGTGATATTGTAATTTAATAAATAATTAAATGAAAAACGACATATTAAATATCATATTGCCACATAAATATTAAAACACATTGTCTTTCAGGTACTACATAGTGTCTAGACCTAGTAAACAGGCCGTTTTCGTGTTTACTTATCATACACGTTATTATAAAGAGTTTTTAATGAGTGACTTCTTAATAACCCAATTGGTTAACAAATTGATTGTGCAAAAAATTATCACGTCTAGTTGTCATATCACATCCTGAGACCAAAAAAGAATATTCCATGCAGCAGCCCTCAATAATTTGCTATAGTGGGTCCCTACACAATAATTTGCTATACAAACCCCTCAAATTTGGCAAAGAAATTATCTAATCCCATATTTATCTTATGAGAAGAAATGATTTTGAGCTAGTGGTCACTTCAAATCTTCCAAATATGAAGCAACAAAATTTAATCATTAAGAAACAATTGGTAAGAACTTACATCTCACCAAGTCGTTTCTACAACCATGTTTGGTAGGAAGGAAACGTGGAGGAATGAAAAGTTATGGACTGATTGGGCGTTTGATTTTCGATAGGACTTGATTGCAAAGTAGAAGAAAAGAAAAGTGAAGGGAGAGGGGATGATCTTCTGTTTTGAGTCTACAAAATCGATTCCTCCGATAAGCAATGGGTAAAATTTCAATCAATTATAATACCCTCGAGAGCAGTTTGATAATCATTTTATTTTTTAATTTTCAATTATTGTTTTCACTTTTTTAACAACTGAAAAACTCGTTTAGTAACCACTTTTAATTTTCATAAAAATAAAAAATGAAAACAAAAGAAGTGAAAACTGCATTCTTTGAGTTTGCAAAATTTAACTTTCAATAATCAGTTTTTCATTTTCTTGAAAGAGTTTTTAGTTTTCAAAAACTAAAAATTGAAAACTACTAAATACGAAAAAAACGGCCCATCATTTAACATGATTGTTGGCACTAAGGTGAACTTAACTAATCTATATTAATCCTTTTTCAAGACAAATCACAAAGACATTTCTCTTTGAAAGATATTCTTACGTACAATTGAAATATATTTCTTCGTATCTACAACTCTCATTACGTGAAACCTCAATGAACCTCAATGAACCTAAAGTAAAATCAGAATCTCCGATACAAGAGGATGTCCAGGTTACTCGGTACAATATCTCCGATCCCACTCTAGGATCTGGTGCTAGGGACTCTGGACTACAGGTTCAGTCTCTATCAAGAAACATCATATCATATAGTTACCCACACCCATCAAGTGAATGAATGGTCAATGATAATACATTCATCCAATTAACCTAGAGCAACGCATTTACCACTCTCTAGTTTGCTCCTTTAATTTGTCTTGTAATGCACGGGTCAGACCCTTGTGGTACTCACTAGGGTCCATGACTCCAAAGCAAAACCAAATGGTCCAACACTTACCACCCCATGTCCTACCACATTGATTTCTTGTTGATTTTGTGTGTAGAAGAGGAAATTTAAGATTATTATGGAATTCTTAATAACATAATTTGAAATGATGAAATTTTGTTCTTCAAATTTCAACCATTAAAATTGTCTATTTTTCTAGTTTCATAGCATAGTACCTCAATCATTTTTCCTTTGGATAGTATTTTAACAAACATAAAGATTTCATCACGAGAAATCAAGAATCATATTGGTAATTGATTTTAAATTAAATTGATGTTTGCAAGAATAATATGACGTGAAGGTTGAAAAATAGATGGCACCAAATTTCTTGTAAAATATGAGAATCCTTTTCCTACTTGCTAATATGGAATTGGAGTTGTGGTTCAAATTGGTGAAGGTAGCTGCATTTGTTAAGGGAGTTGCATTGGCCAAAGTTGTTGCCCAAAAATTAGGAATGGGGGCGTAAGTTATAAAACTATGAATAAATAAGATATTGTTAATATCTACTCCAGTATTGAATGTGTATCAACAAATTATCAAGCCAATTATGTCAGTCCTTTAACCAAGGTTTCTTAAATAGATGAATTTTGTTTGTTTGATTAACTTAAAAGAATAATGAAATTTAAATATAAAACTTTCAATGTGTGTGTAGAGTTATTAATGTAAAATGAGAGATAGTAGTTTAGAGGTGCTAGTAGTGGTGGTGAGGCGGTGATTATGGTGGGTGGTGAGGCGGTGATTATGACAGTGGATGGTGGCGGCGGCAATGGCTGGTGAGACAATTGTATGTGGTGGTGGCGACAAGTGTGATGGTGATGGTGATGATGATGGTGCGTGGTGGTGGTGGTGGTGGCCACTCATGATTGAGTTGTTTTTTTTTTTTTTTTTTTTTTTTTTTGAACTCTCACTTATGAAAATTTTGAAATGACTACAGTTTACTCATAATTTAAACTTAAGAATTGGTGAATGTCAATTTATACACTATGACTTTTGTTCAAATTTAAATTTAGTTTCTGTTCGTCGCAGGAATCTCCTGGCGGACGAGCACACAGCTCCCCTGGGAGAATGGCGTCGGTTGAGGGTATCTGTCGTACTTCTGCTTTCTTCTCGGGCTCGCTCGGGCAAGCCTTTGTCGGGCAGATCTTGGTCGGGCAAGACACACTTCGGGCAAGGCTCGTCGGGCAGTTCTGAAAGAGAAGGACAGAGTTAATTTGAAAGGGTGCCTTTGTGGGGCCTTAGATGTAGGCCTTAAGGCTCACAATCAAGATTAACTTTGTCGTGCTCAGGCGTGCCACCGCCATCTTCAGTATGGCAGATGTTGAATGGGTGTTAAGCTTTGATTGAATATGTATACGCCCGAGAAACCAAGTTAGATATAACAGGTGCCTTTGTGAGGCCTTAGGTATAGGCCTTGAGGCTTCCTGTCAAACTAAACCAGCGCTTGGATGTATCATATTTGGTCTTTTATGGTTGCCAGAGTCTTATCACTATTATACTTTTGATTATCTGAATCCAAGAGGTAGGACGAACCCAAATGAGTGCCTTTGTAGGGCCTTAGGTATAGGCCTTGAGGCTTCCCATCAGAGTTAATCCTTATACTCGGACCAACTAGACCACAACATGAAATGAAGCTAAATAGATGCCTTCGTGGGGCCTTAGGTGTAGGCCTTTGAGGCTTTCTATCAGAATTCACTCCATGCTTAAGCCTTTTCTACGAATCAAGATATAATAGCAACAAAACGGAGAAATAGATTGATTACTTGCGCCCCAAGTAACTTCGGACTTCTCGCTTATCAAGGATTGTCGTGGATGGGTTGAGTCCACATAGAGTTCTTTTTTATGCCTTGAGGCCAAGGACTTTTAAACTGATCTTTAAATTACATGCCCGCCGGGCTTAAGACTTAGATCTGATTTGAACTCTGACGCGATTCAGATCGGATCCAAGTGCTGAAGACTCATTTTCATTATGACTTTGCTAGAAATAACTTGTATATAACTGGGAATATATAAACATGTTATTGTGCTTTTAAAAGAAAGAAAAGACAAAGACAGAGCAAAGATAGTCGGGTAAGTTTGAACCTTATCGGCCAAGGCTGAACTTCTTACAAAATCTATCTTTGTGGCTCTGTCAG